GCTTGGTGCCCTGTGGCTCAGCGTGCTTGGTGCCCAGTGACTCGGCGTGCTTGGTGCCCGGTGGCTCAGCGTGCTTGGTGCCTGGTGGTGAGTGTGCTTGGTGCCCGGTGGCTCCGCGTGCTTGGTGCCTGGTGGTGGGTGTGCTTGGTGCCCGGTGGCTCGGCGTGCTTGGTGCCCGGTGGCTGGGCGTGCTTGGTGCCCGGTGGGTGTGCTTGGTGCCCGGTGGCTGGGCGTGCTTGGTGCCCGGTGGCTGGGCGTGCTTGGTGCCCGGTGGGTGTGCTTGGTGCCCGGTGGCTCAGCGTGCTTGGTGCCTGGTGGGCGTGCTTGATGCCCCGTGGCTCGGCGTGCTTGGTGCCCGGTGGCTGGGCGTGCTTGGTGCCCGGTGGCTCGGTTGCTTGGTGCCCGGTGGCTGGGCATGCTTGGTGCCCGGTGGCTCGGCGTGCTTGGTGCCCGGTGGCTCCGCGTGCTTGGTGCCTGGTGGTGGGTGTGCTTGGTGCCCAGTGGCTCAGCGTGCTTGGTGCCTGGTGGTGGGCGTGCTTGGTGCCCGGTGGCTCAGTGTGCTTGGTGCCTGGTGGTGGGCGTGCTTGGTGCCCGGTGGCTCAGCGTGCTTGGTGCCCGGTGGCTGGGCGTGCTTGGTGCCCGGTGGCTGGGCGTGCTTGGTGCCCGGTGGCTGGGCGTGCTTGGTGCCCGGTGGCTGGGCGTGCTTGGTGCCTGGTGGCTCAGCGTGCTTGGTGCCCGGTGGCTTGGAGTGCTTGGTGCCCGGTGGCTCGGAGTGCTTGGTGCCCGGTGGCTGGGCGTGCTTGGTGCCCGGTGGCTCAGGGGTACTTGGCGCCCGGTGGCTCGGCGTGCTTGGTGCCCGGTGGCTCAGGGGTGCTTGGTGCTTGGTGGTTCAGGGGTACTTGGCGCCCGGTGGCTCGGAGTGCTTGGTGCCCGGTGGCTCAGTGTGCTTGGTGCCTGGTGGTGGGTGTGCTTGGTGCCCGGTGGCTCGGCGTGCTTGGTGCCCGGTGGCTCGGGGGTGCTTGGTGCCCGGTGGCTGGGCGTGCTTGGTGCCCGGTGGCTCAGGGGTACTTGGCGCCCGGTGGCTCGGCGTGCTTGGTGCCCGGTGGCTCAGGGGTGCTTGGTGCTTGGTGGTTCAGGGGTACTTGGCGCCCGGTGGCTCAGGGGTGCTTGGTGCCCGGTGGTTCGGGGGTGCTTGGTGCCCGGTGGCTCAGGGGTGCTTGGTGCCCGGTGGCTCAGGGGTGCTTGGTGCCCGGTGGTTCAGGGCTGCTTGGTGCCCGGTGGCTCGGCGTGCTTGGCGCCCGGTGGCTTGGTGTGCTTGGTGCCCTGGTGGCTCAGGGGTGCTTGGTGCTTGGTGGCTCGGCGTGCTTGGTGCCCTGGTGGTGGGGGTGCTTGGTGCCCGGTGGCTCGGGGGTGCTTGGTGTGGGAAGCCTGGCTCCTCCCCTCCGTTTTTTGCTGCTGCCGCCTGAGGGCAAGCCCCTCACCCCCAGCCTCAGAGGCCCCAGGGGACCAGGGAGGCTCGTGTGAGGCCCTTCAGTGGCTCACAGGAGCATGCTGCTTCAGTGGGGAAACTGAGGCCCTAAGACCAAGAGTCCTGATGTGTGGTATCTGGACTGCGGTCATCGGGACAGTGTGCATACGCGTGTCACGTGGGTATGTGCGTGTGTGTGCAGGTCTGTGTGTGTGTCTTATTTACACATGGCCTCTGGGCCCTGCCCAGACCTACACGGTCAGACCCCAGGAGTCTGCCCTCTGATAAATGGGAGAGGGCGGAGGCCCAGGGAGTGAGAGGCCCTCAGGGGAACAGGCGTGGGGTCACAGAGGCTGGGGGTCCTCAAGAGAGGGAGGCCCAGGGGACGCCTGAGGCTGGGTGACGGCGGTCCCCAGCCAGGGGGCTCCGGGGGTGAGGTGGCTCTGTCAGCCGCCCGCCTCTCCTTGGCCCCCAAGTGAGCCCGAGCACCCGTATGGGCTCGGCTGCCCTGCCAGCACCTGGCCCAGCAGGACTGACCCGTCTGACCAGCCTCACTGCCCACCGCTGTCCTGAGGGAGCAACTGCTTTTAGCCCCACTTTACAGATGGGGAAACCGAGGCCCAAGGAAGGCAGGGAACTTGTCCGGATCTGGGAGGTGGACCAGCTTGTCTGGCTGCAGCCCATGCATGTAACCGTGAGGCTCTTTAGCTGAGAGGAAGCACTGGGGCTCCTCTGTAGCCGGGCGCCTGGCCAGTCAGGGGACAAGGGCCACACTCACCCATCCGGCTTCGGCCTGCCTTCCTCCACCCGTGGCCAGGCCCCTGCTCTGTGTCGGGGCCGGGCTGGCCTGAGCAGAGGCAGGTGGCTGTCCTGGAGGAGCACACACCAGCCTGAGAGGCGCTGAGCCCGCTGTGCACGGGGGGTGCTGAGTCCCAGGCAGGCTGCACCCCAGGCAGAGGGCTCGGACAGGGAGGACAGCTGCTGGTCATGCGCAGGGGAGGCCCAGAGAGGCTCCGTCGAGCAGGAGGCAGGAGCGGGTCTAGAAGGATGACCTCAGCCGCGTGGGGGCAGAGGGGCATTGCCCGTGGCTGCGGGGCCCAGGCGCAGTGAGGGCACTCAGGCACTGGGCAGGGAGCCCCGAAGCTGGGTGCTGGGTCCCATTTCTCAGCCCGGCTGTGCGCCTCTCCCCCGGCGGGGAGGGTGGGCGAGCCCCTCTGCTTCTCCTCTTCTTCCCAAATCCGAGTTCCAGGCCAGACCCAGGGGGCCCAGGCCTGGGCGAAGCCGCTCGGCCTCCCACTCCCGGTGGATGCAGGGCCGGGAAAAGGCGCCCGCTCAGCCCCTGCGGCTGGACCGTCCTGGGTTTATGTAGTCACAGCTTCAGGACAGCACGCGCTCCGGGAGAGAAGTCCCCCCCCAGCCCTCTCTCACTTTCCTGCTCCTCACCTGCCCCAGGTTCCACCACGGCGGAGTCCTCTTTGGGGCTAAGGCTGGTGTCTCTGGTTTAAATCAAAACGGACGCTGCTGCCTCCCAGCCCAGCACACTGCAGGAGGGCGGTCAGCCCAGGCCCAGGCCCAGGCCCAGGCCCGCCCCCCGCGGTGGGGTGACGCCTGTAAGTGGTGCTGACCTGCAGCCCCTGCTGCCCACCTTTCGGAGCTGCCTCTGACACTCACTGCCGAGGGCCGGGAGCCTGTCAGAGGTTTCCAGAGTGAAGCTGGCTGGAGCAGGTGTGGGGGCGGGTGGTAGGGCCAGCAGAGGGGCTGTGTGCCACACGGGGAGGCCCCGAAGGAAGAGACTGGCGGAGGGTGGGGATTTGGGGGTCTCTCGCAGAGACATCTCTGAGAGTCTCGGTGAGGACTGGAACTGAGGGATTCATGAGCACAATCTGGGGCCACCAGGCACGGGGGATGCCATGTGCTCCTGCCAGGTTGCTACTGCAGCTCTCTGTCAGTCAGTCTGTCTGTCAGTAGGCCTTTGGCTCCCAAGTCAGGGCGATTGAGTTGAGTGTGGGCTCAGGTTGCCCAGACAGGCTGTCCCTCCTGATGGTTCTGGCGATGCGGATGCAGGGTCAGAGCTGGGCCTTTCTGGCTCTCCCACTGCCTGCTGTGGGGAGTGGCCGCCTGCCCCGGCCCTGCTCCCTCCTCAGGAGAAGGTGGGACACATGGTCAGGGTCCATCTGCTCTGACATTTGGGGTTGGCTGTGAGGAAGCCACACAGACCCTTGCTGAGAGTTTCTCCTCTTTGGGAAGGGGGAGTGTGCGAATGGAGAGGAGGAAGGGGAGGTGACCCCGGGGCATCTGGGAGGGAGGGGGACGGGGAGAGCCTCTGGTTAGGCCAGTGTGAAAAGCAGGTCACTTGTCCTCCGGGGTGGGGGGTGGCTCCCGCAGGCAGGGGGCTCAGGGATGGGGCGAGGCGGCTCTTTAATGAGCAGGTTCCCAGGCTCCATCCCTCTGGGCCCCTCTGGGAGCCTGGAGCAGCCCCAGGGGCGGGTGTGGGGAAGCCATTGTTTATGTCCCAGCTCCTGCCCGCCATTGGTTGAGGGCTGCCCTCTGAGCGAAAACGTCCCGGTCTCTGCAGCCCCCGAGCCAGGGAAAGCCCCCGGGAGCGGCAGGAGGAACCATGTGTGGGGACGGTGCAGGGAGGGCTGAGGAGGAGCCCAGGGCATCCAGCCCCTCGGAGGCTGGCACTGCTGTCTGCATTGCTCCGATGAGGAAACGGCTCCGAGGGCTGGAGGGCCTTCCCACGTGCTTCCTGCCGGCCCAGGTCACCGCGAACGCCTGCACCGATGTGCGGGACAGGCCTTGCCTGACCCCCTGTGCCTCCACTTCCACATCTGTAAGATGGGAGGATGCCGCCCAGGACTGACCTCGAGGGCAGCTGCTGCCTGCAGAGCACTTAGCGCGGTGCCCGGCCCATCTCCCTGGGCTGCGCCCCGTGAGCCGGAGCCGGGAGTGCACAGAGGCAGGCAGGAGGCTCACACCTGCCAAAGGCCTCTCGGTCCCCCAATGCGGCCCGGCCTCCGGCTGCAGCCTCCAACCTGATCAGCAGGCCCCGTGTCAGCGGTGGCCTCGCCCAGACGGGCCTGCGTCCCCGGAGGCAGAGTTCTTTAGTCCGCCAGCACAGTGAGACGGCGGAATGAACGGTTGTAAGGAGGGCCCCGAGAGAACAGGACCCCGGGTGGATAGGTTTTGACAGCTGCTTTTATTTTTTTGAGAGACAGAGCTGCGGTAAGAGGAGCTTCTAGAACCGGCTAAGACATGGGCACAGAGAGATGTGCCCCGAGAGCGAGGGATGGAGGGACCCAGGGCACAGCGTGTGCAAAGCGTGCAAGGTGGGGTGGGTGGTGGGGAGCCACATCCGTAGGAGGCTGAGCTGAGGACCCCCCCCTCCCCCGCCCGCCCTCCCCCCATGGGCTGTAATGAGCCAAACGAGCAGAGGCAGCTTCGGGCCTCAGGAACGGCCCTGATCCCCGAGTGCCCCACCCCACCCCCTGCCCCCGGCTCTGCTAACTCCTCCTCTCTCCCCTTCTTTCAGGAACCTTTTGGACAAGGACATGTTTTCCAAGTCTGACCCACGTAAGTCCTGCTCCGACACAGTCAGGTGGCGATCACAGCGGCCAGCCCTGGAGTCCTCACGGGGCATCGGGCACCGGGTCCCGTCCAGGCTGTTCTCACGAACGCCGTCTGGAGAGAGGACTGGCACTGGCCCTCCCACCCCCCACACGTGTGAAGCCTCAACACAATGGCGGGCGGGTCAGCGTTTCAGGCCCTGAGTTTGCAGAACCAGGGAGACAGACCCGTACATTTCAGCCCCAGCTGGCTGTGGTCCAGGGGATTCAGCCCTGACATTGAAGTCCAGGGTTCTAGCTAGAGAAATGGCACTAAAGCATGTGACCTCACGCAGGCCGCGGGCCTCCTCCCAGCCTCAGCGGCCATCGGTGGGGGCTGGGACAGTGACGGCCTGAGGCTGCTGTGAGCCCCAGGGTGAGGGAGTTTCAGGTGCTCTCCTGCCACCCGCCACCCAGTCACTCATCACACCCCCCACCTCCCACCCGTCTGCCTGCCTCACACTCGCTCAGGCCTAGATGCAAACAGCCCTGACCTTCTCCCAGGGGGCACTCCTCCCAGGCCCATGGTTGGCAAACTGCAGCTCGCGAGCCACATGCGGCTCTTTGGCCCCTTGAGTGTGGCTCTTCCACCAAAATACCACCGCCTGGGCGAGTCTATGTTGAAGAAGTGGCATTAGAAGAAGTTTAAGTTTAAAACATTTGGCTCTCAAAAGAAATTTCAATCGTTGTGCTATTGACATGTGGCTCTGTTGACTAATGAGTTTGCCAACCACTGTTTAGGTTCCATTCTCCAAACTGAGGATGCCCCAGACCTAAGGTGACCAGATGTCCCACTTTTGGCGGGACAGTCCCGATTTTTAACAAATTGTCCTGTGTCCCATGGCATTTTAAGAAAGTCCCAATTTTTGGAAAGAATGCACAACAAGTTAGGGAACGGCTCCATATAGACCACATTTTTAATCCAGAACCCCCCCCCCCCTCCCCCGTCAATGTGTCCCGCTTTACCAATGTTAACATCTGGTCACCTTACCCAGACCCCACTTTGCCACCAAGCCCACTCTCCCGAGGCCCCGCCCGCCCTCCGGGCCCTCTGCACAGGGCCCCCTTCTCCAGGCCTGTGTGACATGCTAACCCTTTCCCTCCTCTCCCCACAGTGTGCGTCATGTATACTCAAGGCATGGAGAACAAGCAGTGGAGGGAGGTAGGTCCAGCCCCTTCCCCACCAGACACCAGCTTGGCCCTGCGGGAGTCTGCTGGCCCCTCATGGTGGTCACCTGACTGGAGACCCCCCTCCCCCCCATGCTCACAACCACAGCCTCTGAGCCCAGGGGAGGGAGAGTGAGGTGTGGAGACAGGGAATCGTCCCTGCTGCTGCAGGAAGAATCCAGTGGACTGGAAAGTTCCTGTCCTCAGGGAGCCCCAGTCTGAGGGGACACGGCCCTGTCCTCGGGGAGCCCCAGTCTGAGGGGACACGGCCCTGTCCTCAGGGAGCCCCAGTCTGAGGGGACACAGCCCTGTCCTCAGGGAGCCCCAGTCTGAGGGGACACAGCCCTGTCCTCAGGGAGCCCCAGTCTGAGGGGACACGGCCCTGTCCTCAGGGAGCCCCAGTCTGAGGGGACACAGCCCTGTCCTCGGGGAGCCCCAGTCTGAGGGGACACAGCCCTGTCCTCAGGGAGCCCCTGTCTGAGGGGACAGAAGAGGTGATCTCTGTGCCTGACAGCCATGGGCCTGGCCTCCAGCACCATGTCTCCCCCTCCACCCGCTCTGCCCCCTGACAGCTGCCCCAGGTCCTGACTAGTGAACGATCGGTTAAGTGAACCCCTGCCCACCATCTCCAGTGACTCCTCTGCTCAGCCTGGCTTCCAGTCCTTGCCAGAGCTGGGAGTCCCTCCTGTAGACATGGTGAGGGTGACAACAGCCAGCAAACGTCAGCACCTCAGGCCTTGTCTCTCATCGTGGGTGGGCGCCCCCCCACCCCACCCCGTGGCGGCAGCAAGTGGCCAGAGGGCTGCCGTGCACCCGCAGAGTCTGGGAAAGGCCCGCCCGGGCTGGGCTGCACCTCCTTCCTCGCTCTCTCTGACCAGACGCGCCAATCAGAGGGTGGACCCGACGCAGGGAAGCGGTTAGCGGCTTAAAGGGACTAATTACTCTTGGGGCCGGCTTCACAGGAAGCGGCTGATTGGACAGGAAAGGAGGGGGGGGCTTCCGAAGGGCATTCTCCTCCAGCCTGGCCAGTCTCCCCTCGGGGCTGGGGCTGGGGCACTGCAGGGGGAGACGGGGTGGGTGTGGGGGGCAGAGGGTCTGTGTCAGCTGCACCTGCGCTGTGATCCTGGCTCCAGCTCTTCCTGGGGGTGGGGCCCCAGGCAAGGGGCTTAGCCTGCCTGTGCCTCAGTTTCCACGTGTGTAACACGGGGCCAGCACCTGCCTGCAGGCCTGTGGTGGGAGCGGAACAAGGCGGTGTCGCGTGCCTGGGGCGGAGTCACTGTCGGTAAATATCCTGGAGCAGCATCGTCCGCAGCCTGCCGGGCACCGCCCTGCTTCAGTCAATATTTGCAACAGGAAGCGTCGATGGGGTGCTGGGCAGCAGCCCAGGTGCGGGTGCGGGTGGGGGAGAGGGAGCGGCAGGAGAGCGGCGGGCGGGGGGCGGGCAGCTGGGCAGGGCGGCGCTGGCGAGAAGAACCTGCCGGGAAGCGTGAGGGCGCCAGGGAGGAGAGCGGGCGTTCGGAGGAGAGTTGCAGCGTGTGAACAGCTCACTGGGTTTTATAAAATGGGATTTGATTGAACACAGTCCTCTGGCCCAGGGGCGCGTGGTGTAGAGAAGGGGAGGATGTGGGTGGAGGGAGCTTCGGGGATCACCCTCCCCATTCTCCGAGGGGCAGGACGGGCCTCAGGGCGCTGAGCCAGGGCCTAGACCCCCCTGCAGTGGGAGTGTCCCCGGGAGCTGGGTCTCAGTGGAGCTGGGGGGGTGGGGGGTGGGGGGGACACAGCACAGGCTCCCCCCCCCCCCCGCAGTAACGGTTTGGGGGTGGCTGGGGTGAGAGGCCAGTCCAGGTTCGGGTAGCTGAGGATGGGTGTTATAAACAGGGGCAGGTTTTAGGGATGCCAGTGGGGGTGATGGATCAGGAGGTGGCAGCAGTGGCAGGAGCAGGAGCTTCAGTACAGGAGCAGGAGCCCCCGGTGGAGGGACAAGGTCAGCCTGGGGAGCCTCGCTCTCTTCCCACCTCTGCTGGCTGCCTGCGCCCATTGGTGGGCCCACAGGCAGGCCTGGGGTGGGGAAGGCTGGTGTGGTCTGCACTGGCCAGCCTCCGGGCACGGGTCAGGTGGAGAGGGCAGGGGTGGATCCGGAGGGGCAAGCGGAGACGCCCGAGCAGACATGGAGCCGATGAGCGAGGCTGGCATTCAGGGTGTGGGCTACGCGATACAGGAAAAGGTGGGTCCTGGGTCAGAGTTCAGACAGGAGGGTCACTAGAGGCCCAGGAGACAGACCCCAGGCCTGAGAGGCAGGCAGCACCGCGCCCAGCCTCCAGGGGGGAGGGGCAGAGCTCAGCCACAGGTCCTATGGGGAGAGGAGAGCCCACCCCTGCCCCCCAACCCCCTTCTGGAGTTCTTGGACTCAATAAAACTGTCACAAGACCAGATTAACGGGAAATACCGACTTGGTATGTGTGCATGACAGGCCATAAAAGATGGTGCTGTCCGCAATGGTGACCCAGCCATCTTTTTACGTTTCTCAGGCACAGAAACAATACGTTTGTGAGGACAGGACTGGACAAAGACAGTGAGGTCTGGGCGCCCCTTCCGAGGAATCTGAACAATATGTGGGCTGGGGTAGTGAGTGGGTGAGGCAGCACAGTCCCTTAGGCAAGCTTTTTGGCCCAGGGTTCCCTAATCCTGCTGATGAGGGTGTCTCTCAGCCCCCGGCAGCCAGGGGGCGCTTTTCATGGAAGAGAATTCTTTCCCACAATGGCTGCCGGGCAAGTAAGCTTAAGTCCAAGCCATGGATGTGCCATTGTGGGGCATCAGGGGTGGGGCATTAAGGGTGGGGCAAGTCCTCCAGCACGCAGGCTTCAGGCTGTTTGGGAAAAGAGAAGGTGCACTCACACACGTCGAGGTCCTGCTTCTTACGGACTGATTCCCTGTGTGACCCCAGAGGAAAGCCTCAGGAATGGAGAAAGTGAGAAGCCATCTGGGCCCCTCCCAGTGGAAGCAGCCTGGGAAGGAAGACTGCCTCGCGGGTGAACAGAACGCAGTGGCCACCGCTGGTGCCCTGCAAGCGTCTGCTGGCGGAGTCTTGGCCAGGAGAGGCGTCCGTGACCAGCGGGGCCCAGAGCCGGCCCCGGGTCCCCCCAGGCGGGGCCTGACCCCGCTCTGCTCGCACCCGCTGCAGAGGGATGAGGCTCTTCTCGCAGCCCCTGGCTGCCCGTTTCCGCTGATTCTAACCGTGTGGGTCATTTCAGTGCCTCCCGAGAAAGCTCCATCTTCCCAGCGCCTAAATCTGTCACCACATTTTATGAAAATTGACTCGAGACGTGATTTTAGCCCAGGAAGTCGAGTGCTGTTTGCATCAAGCCTTGGCAGGGCCTTCCGCTGTCCGGGGGAAGTAGGCGGGAAGGGTCCCCTTGGAAAAGTGTGTGTGTGTGTGTGTGTGTGTGTGTGATCCTGCCTCTCCCCTGCCAGGTGGCCGCCCTGGCCGAGGGCCCCTGGGTAAGGAGGAGAGGGTGTTAGGGTGTCCCGCTGATGGACCCCTACCACTTGCCGGGCACGGGGCCCAACCGGCCAGCCCACACAGCCCCACCAGAGTGCTCCGTCTATTCTGAGTGACCTCAGCCCACTGGTCACTAACCCCGGCGAGGATGACGGCTCCTCGCTAAGTGTCTGGATAATCTCCTTGTCACTGTGACTCCGTGAGCCTGTGCCGGCACCGCCGAGTGGCAGGGCGAGTGCTGGGGGCCCAGAGGGTTAGCACAGACAGTTCACAGCCGGCGGGCTCACTGTCAATCCGGGGCGACAGTCAGCCACGGCGGAGCCGACAGCATGCGCTTCCGGAGCGGAGTGTGCCAGGCTCCGCTCCGAGCACGCCCACAGCCGCTCGCTCGCGACGAACCTGGACAGGAGGCATTATTATTGTTATTTGTTATGGTTCTCGGTCCCATTTCATGAGGAGGAAACAAGCACAGAGAGGATGGTGTGAGAGAGGTTCTTCACTGTCCTTCCCCAAGTGTGTGTCCATGCTGTCCAGTTGTCCAGCCTCGTCATGGGCTGCCCTCCTCAGGGGCTTGAGCTACACAGTCACACTCCTCCCCAGGCCTCTGCATCCTGCATCTCCCTCAGGGCCGTGCACTGTCCGTGCTAATACCCCACCTGCCCCATGATGGTGTCTCCCCTCCCTCAGGCCGTGCACTGTCCATGCTAATACCCCACCTGCCCCTGTGACAGTCTCTCCCCCTCCCTCAGGCCATGTACTGTCCATGCTAATATCCCACCTGCCCCATGATGGTGTCTCCCCTCCCTCAGGGCCGCGTGCACTGTCCGTGCGAATACCCCACCTGCCCATGTGACAGTGTCTCCGATTTCACATGGAGTTGGGGGCTGCTGTGTCTTTCTCACTCGAGCTGCTGGTTCACAGAGGATTCGGCTCAGACTTGGAAGTTGGGTTTTGAATCTCAGTGTGACTTGCATTGCCTCCATTATGGCTCCTTGGGTAGATTCAGTCTGTGTGGTCTCTGAAGGTCATGTTGAGTTTCAGCTGTGCGTCCGGCATCTTGGCTCTGTCTCCTGGCGCGGGGTGGCGGTCATGGCCACCAGGGTGAGGAGCGGCTGGGTGGGCTGGGTGCTGTGGTCCTCCCTCGGGCCTTGCCGGTTGACCTCAGTTCTCTAGTTGACCTTTGTTCAGCCCTGGGATCTACACAACTTTCAACCCCCCGCCCCCCTTCTCCATCTGGTCCCTCAGGACATCGTGAATAACCGTCCAATGCCTTGTCAGATGCGGCCCTGACTGTGATGTCCCAGGCCTGTTCCCCTCCCAGCTCTGACCTTCACTGTGACCTGGGTCTCAGTGTTCTCACCTGTAATGGGGTTCGGAGACCTGGGGAAGAGAATGCTCTGACGACGCCTGGAGATGCCCGTGGCAACGCGGTGCTGCCCAGCCGGCCCTCCGTCACGGCACAAGTGGCCACACTCGAGGTCCTGTGACCGACACCA